GGAGCAACCAGAAACAAAAACTTCCTTAAGTCTTATAAAAGTACTGTTACTTATTTGAGGAAGAATACAAAGAATGACAAAATCAGAGTTAGCTTTACGTGCTCTTAAGTCTATCCTTTGTACTCACCTGGTAGGTGAGGATCAGGCCAGCTGTCACCCCTCACCGGGAGTATTTCCACTGACCACTCTGCTTCCAGTCTCTTTAAGCTAGGCCCCCTCGTGGCAGATCTGATCAATGGTTTTCCTCTCAGAAGCTCTTAAAGGATTTCCATTGCCCCTTAATGTGAGCCTGAAATCTCAAAGGTGGAGAAACACCACAGAAGACTTCCATCTCCTGGAGATGTTCTTGAGCTTCCTCCTTAGAGGCTTCCAATCACTGAAAAGCCTTATTCAGGTCTCTCTGAAGCCCACAACTTCCCACCCCACAGCAGGTTCAGCTGGATACTTAAACTCCTTAAATGCCCATCCCATGAATTCCATTTGTTCCTCTTTTGATATCCTCTCCTCATCGCCATGGTGTTTCCTCTGTCCCTACACCAACCTTTTCCTTATGGTCTACCCATCCTATACACAGTCCAGGTCTCTTTCCGCTCATCTCTCCGTCCACTGCTATCCCTATACTTCTGTCCTGTTATCATCATTCTTCCTTTATAACACAGTAATTCTTTTTCATTCATTCATTCATTCATTCATTCATTCATTCATTCATTCAATCATTCAACCGGTCACTGTATATCTTTTCTTCTAAATCACCCATTTCATTAGAACAGGAACCATGTCTCCTTTTTTTTTCTTCACTGTTTTATCTGCACAAAAAAATCTGACAATGGTCAGTATCCAGTAATTACTGAATGATTAATTGATTGAACAGTTACACTCTGTCTTAGACTATTTTCTGCTGTCATTACAAATCACTACATAGTGGGTAAGTCACAATGAGAAGAGGGGGCTGACTGACAGGATGGCTGGTCAGCAAGTAGAGGCACCTGAGCTCCAACCAGAGGACTTAAAATTCAATCCCTAATTCCACAAGGCGGCAGAAGAGCACGAACTCCAAGAGCTGCCTTCTGACACACGCCTCACAGCGTTTGTGCACCTGCACACAGGCAGACGATAGTTAGATTAGGTAGATAGATGATAGCTAGATAGATAATGCAAAAAAAGATTTATTTTGGCTTATAGATTTGGAGGCTAATCTAAGATGTGTGGCTTCTGGTGGGGGTGAGCTTCTTGCTATATTTTAACATGCTGGAAAGATGAGATACATCAGGTAAACAGAAAGAAACATCCGGGGTGTTTCATCCTCATAAGGAATACGTTCCGGAGATAAGCAGGGCCCTCTGTGGCACACACATTGATCTGGTCATGACACCAGACTTCCTTCTGACCCCATCAACTTTTAAAGGCCTCACTGTCAATATCATCGCACTGAAGACTGACCTTCCATGTGAACTTTGGAGGTGACATCAAAGCACTGAATAGTCTCTCCTTCATTATTTTTGTTTTACACCTTCCATATTTTATCTATTTTTGTAATTCCACTTCAAACACCATTTGTTTGACACCCACTTTTTTTTCTTTTCTTTTCTTTTCTTTTTTTTTTTTTTTTTTTTTTTTTTTTTTTTTTTTTTTTTTTTTTTTACAGCTTCCAGGGTACTTTAGAAACTGCCCAGGTAATTATATATCTGAAGGGCTCTCTAACAGACCCACTGCAGACATGGTACTGCCCGGTCTTGCCTTCTTTCCTTTCCTCTCCCTTGTTGAATGGTTAGATTATATTTCTAAAGCCAGCCTCCGTGGAATATTCCCTTCTTTAAAACCAAAATTTCAAGGTCCAACTATCAAAACTTCAAGGTCCGGCAATCAAAGTCCATTACTTAGCTATACTGGCTAACCTGTTCAATCAGGATTTAACAACTCACCTTGGCACAGACTTCCCCTTTTCTCCTTAAAAAACACTCATGCAGAAACACTTGCTGTCTGTCTTTATGGGTTCCTGAGGCAGGCCCCTCCCTGCCCTCTGTTTGTTCTTCTGGGTAATGAATCTCTTTTATGCTGAGAATCTGGTGTCTGGGTGTGTTCTGTGATGACACCAAGGTCCTTTCCAATGTCTTATTGCCACAAGGAACAATCAGCATCTCCACTTGGATTTCCACTCTACCCAGCACATATTACTATCATCACTTATGATTTTTAAAGAGATTCATTTTCATTTTATGTTTATGAGTGCTTTCTTTGTCTGCAAGTACTTACTTGGAGAGAGCAGATATGCTGAAGTGCCCATAGAGGCTATAAGAGGAGACTGAATCCCCTGGAGCTGGAGTTACAGGTGGTTATGAGCCACCATGTGGTGCTGGGAAGCAGACCTGGGTCCTCTGCAAGAGCAGCAATTAATATAAACTACTTGGCCATCTCTATAACCACACATAATTTTTAAGAAAGAAATTAAAATATATTATTTCCCTATCCTTTCTCCTATTCCTCCATTTACCTCCCTCACCTTCCTCTCAAATTCATGACCACTGGGCTCTTTTTCTTTAACTGTTACACACACACACACACACACACACACACACACACACACACACACACACTTATATACAAACACACCTCTAAATACGCCATCTGCTCAGGTCACTACAATGTAATTTGTATGCCTATGATTTAAGGGCTGACCGTTTGGTACTGGACAACCAATTAGGAGAATCTTTTCTGGGGAAGATAATTTTCTTCCTATTTCAGCATTCCTATTGGCGTCATCCTTGTTCTTGTGTAGGCAAGCCGTGTTGATGAGACTTCATGGGTGTAGCTTCCCTGACAGTTCTAGGAGACACAGTCTCTCAGCAGCTGTCATGATCGTCTGGCTCTCCTTTCTCGCTGCACTACTTCCTTCCCCTTTTGGCTGTAAGCTACCTGAAAGTACAACTCCTATGTCCCATTTGGTTTTTCAGTAAATTACTGGATCATTCCATTCAGATTCCAAAAGTTAATGTACAAGCTGAATACAGGTTATCTTTGTTAATTCTGTCTCTAAGTTATTAAAGTTACTATTTGAACATTGATTGCAACTCATTTTTGTTTTACTGTTAAAACAATCAGTTCAATCATTCAATCAGCAGATTATATCATTATTGAATCAATACATTTGCCTTTAAGATCTATTGTGACATCCTGGCCTCTGGACTCAAAAACGTGGTTAAGTTCCTGAATACATTCTATAGTTACTTTTATAACTTTTTATTTCTTTCCAGAACTCAGTTATTAATTCTTGCTAGATCAGTCTTCTTATCACCAGTTTCCCCTTGTTCCTCTCTTCCTATGTTCTTGTTCCACTTCAGACACCATTTGGTTGACACATATTTCTTATATAAATGACAGCATGCTTTATTAAATGCCCTGATAATCACAAATCATATGTGCAATTACATATCTATGTTACATATATCTACAGGGAATACAAAATAGATAATTATGTGTTTTATAATTAGATACTTACGTATCTATAGAGAATGAATAAAGAAATAAGCTGACTGATAGTCTGAAGAAAGAGTGAGGAGAATCTGAATGATGAATGGAGCTTCCACCCAGACTCAGATGCTCATTCTTTCCTGCCTAAACTTGAGATACAATGTGGCTACTCAGACAGCTACGATCTACTTCTTAGTTCTCCAGTAGGTAGGGAATCCCAGGTTGCGTACTGAAAACATGTGGGAATATAAATGTACGTTGCTTTTTCACAGTGTAAATATTGTCAGTAAAAATAAGGTAAGTCTAACAAAAATGTAAAATGGTCCGGTGGCAGCTACACAAATAACTCTGCTGACACCCCACCTTGAGCCTCTGCTGCAGAGACCTAATTCAAAAGGTATTTCATCATTCGAGACACTGTTTGTTCCACTTCAGGCTGGAGCTACCTTGTTCCTAATCACTGTGTCAAAGGATTGTCTTTTCAAACATTATGTAACTTTCCACAAGTCTACCTTTACAAACTTCCCTAGATAATCAATTTTTTTTTAACACAAGCAGTCTATTATTACATAAATATTGCAGTGTTATAATCTCTCTGGGTACATATCATTATTCTTTGGAGACTTTCTGAATGTTACTTAATTGATGACCGTCCACAAAATATGCTTTTATCCTTGATTTTATTTCTTGACTTGATTGTTGTGCACATGGCAACAGTGAATGGATTCTCTTAGAGAATTACTAAAACATCTGTATATTTGATCTCTTCTAGGTAGGGTGCTAACGTGGCACCACAACTCACCTTGTATCCACATGTGCAAAGCGTTTCATGAAACTTCCAGATTAAATGACTGTTCTGGACAATGTCTTTGCCTCACTGCTTTTGCATCCCAATGTAACCTTTGTCTCCTCCCAACAATTATTTCTCATCTTCCCCACCATCTTTTTCATCTGCCATTATTACCAGTTTCCGACTACAACTTAGGACCAGACTGACATTTGCTAGAACCATTTAAATGTTAGATGAGAGCTCAAGTTGGCCTGAGAGCAGTGTGTGCAATCTATCTTCTGGGGATCGATTTTTGAGGGGAAAAAAATCATTCTTGGATTTTGTTCATCTGAGTAATTATGTTTTAATGAATGCTTGCTTACACTTCACAGCCTTTTGGTTTGCTTTGAAAAATTAATTGAGTACATATACATGTGTATATGTATATATCACCTTAAACTCAAGAAAATGATACTTTTTATTTCAGTAACTAAAAAAAAAAAGACAGCACTTTTTTCATGAAACTACTCTCACTATCCTTATTTGATATGAATTTACTTTGAACCTCGAACAAGAACATCTAAAATATATGACTTTTAATATTACACAAATATATGGGCATTTATTTTATCTTTCTGCCTAGAGAAATTACCACAATTTGCAGACAGTTGCTCTCATTCATTCATATTTCTACTTGTTTTTACAGCACCCAAAGGAAAAATACAGCAATTAGTCAGAGTTGAACAGAAGCACTCAACACTCATAAATGCATAAAGTTACTTTATTTTAAGTATACATTTAATTTTGAAAAATATAAATGCTAAAATATCTCATCTTCTTCATCTCTTAATTCCATAAAAGTCACAATAGAAAGCTTCATAAAACTGCAAAATACTATGTTATAGGAATTTTAGGTTTCATATTGGAAAAAAATTATTAGTAATATATTGAAATGTTTTCTGTTCTTTATCATTTTGTTCCACCATGTTGATCTACTTCATTTAAAATAAAAAGAAGCATCATTTCTCCAAAGTTAATAAAGACTTAAGAGAATAAAAATAAGAATATCTGAAAGTGCGTACTGATTGTGAAAAGTGAAGTGTACGGATATGTGCCAGCCATGAAAATGGCTGCAAGGAGGCAAGTCAGCATTTGTTGTACATTGTTGGCCTGGGAGAAAGAGACTTCAGGCTCTAAGGATTCATTGGGTGACTTTAGCCCTGAGTTGCAGTATTTGCCTAGGAAACAAAATTCAGGATTCTTGTGTGTATCCATAGAGCACAATGAAATGAGCCAGGAATAAGATCTATCCAGATCTCTGGTTAAAACACAGCCTGCCAGATTCACATATATTACAAAAGGGTTTTCATTTCTGGCTGCCATGAAGCTCCATGAGGTCATCTGACAACTCCCAAGGCTGTTGTGACAGGGAAGTACTGCTGTCTTCCGACTGTCCCCAGTCACTTCGTACCAACTGGCCTTCATGGTCGTGCTGGGAAAGCAGACGGGAAATATCCCAGAATATAAAGAAGAAAACCTCAGATTCTTGCACCAAAATCATGAAGCGGCATGAAAAAGACTGAAGAAAACTCTGTCCCATTCCCGATCAATGCCAACCTTTGTAATATAACTCAAATGGTTTTGTTTTTAAAAGATAGTCAGCAGTCAATACATTTCAAGTACTTTAACACAGTTAAAAAAAAAAAAAAAGAAACAAAAACATGGAAGACAATCATTTGCTATATTAAACAGCAACACATAGCTGACAAAGGATTTCCTCTGTGTGTGTTCTTACATGTGCCCAAAATGCACATAAGCTAAGTTATTGACAGCAGACCCCTCCCTGCTTCTCTTAGGTTAGGGATGAGGGGCAAGGTTTAGTTTGCCTCTTCTCAAGTAAGTACTTCCCAGCCCCACCCCTCAACTTTTCCAGAAGAAGAAGAAGCAGAAACAACACGGCCTCTGACACACAAAACAAATAGGATTCCAAGTAGTTTCTGCACACAGTAGAAAAAGACGAGCATCTTAAGGGTTTCTGCAAAATGGAGGCTTCGACGCTTCAAAGACAGGCAGGCTCAGCCTGCCCATCTTGTTCTCACAGCCAGTTTTGCACAACCACAGTATTCCTGGTCAACAACTTGGAGTCTTCAAGAAACATTTATCTCCAAGTTCACATCCAGGGAGGAAGGGTAGAAAGGCATTTTAAAGAATTCATTGCTGTATTTGTGTCCAGTTTACATAGAAACAAAACCACCATGAAATCTGCTTAGCTATCAACCAATTAAGCAAATTCAGCCAGATTCAGATCCTGGGGTGAGGCCATGGAGGTTAGCATGGGAACTACAGTGGTTATGAGAGTGCCTGCTGTTCACTGTTCCTGCAGCAGATGTGAGGGATGGCTTTGTGTTCATTCCGTGAACACTAACCACCCACCCCAGCCACAGACGAGGGACCATAAATGGCGTGAGAGAACCTCAAGAGCTCCTCAAACACTGAAATGATAAATTACTCCAGGAGCTCTCTGAAAAGTAAGAGGAGGATCATGAATCCCTACATAAACTTGATTCATAATTTGAAAGTTATATATATAATATATATATTATATTATATATGTTATATATATATATAACCAGAGATTTCACAAACATGATCCAAGCGGCTTTGATTTAACATCATGGTTAGACTGCATTTGCTATGCATGCTTTTAAACATTTCACTGATGGATCTATCACTAAAAATGTAAGGTTACAAGGTTCAATAGAAAGCCAGATACCGCATAATAATCATTTTTAAGGACAGTTCTGAATACAAATGTGATGTAAAAAAAGAAAGATTATTACTTGAGATGTTAGCAGACATGTTATTTGCTGCTATCATTTTAATGAAAAAGACTGGGGTCAATTCATGCCTAATTTCTATAAAATCTAAGGTTTCAAGATGACCGAATGCTATGAACATTAACAGTTAACTTAGGATAACAAGACCGTTATCCTCAAAATTTCAGGAGGGCAGAATTATATTTCAGTTAACGTAAGAAAGGGGGTGTCCATAAGAACACACCCCAGAACCAGTGTATGGTTCTATTCTCCTCCAGCAACCTATTACAGGGAGTGTGTATCCCAACTGCTGTTCCGCAAGTCTAAAAGTATGGATCCCACATCTAAACTGTTATTATATGATCGGTGTAGCATATGATATAACTTACTAGAAATATTGCAATCAAATGCCACACTCAATTTGGCTAACAAAGGTCTAATTTTCAACATGGCGTATCGGAACACACACATACACACACACATATAGCCTAAGTGGTTCAACAACCCTGCCCTATAAGCGCGTGGAAATGAGCACTTGAAGCTTTCTTTGCAGATCTATGGTGCACGCCTACTCCATGTATGAGCTGTGTGACTGGGCTGTTGACATTCTGATGGCTTTTGTATTGTAGGTATGGACTGCTGTATCTGTGATGTTGACGGTGATGCCTGAGTGATAAGATATATATTCGCCTGAAGTTACACGATACATGGTTTTTTTGTTTTTTGTTTTTTTTTTTTTTGGCCCCCGACAGATTTCTCATGAGTGGTTGAGGTTTTATAAAAATGGACACAAGGAGCTTGACAACTTTGCCCTCTGACTACTCTCATTCTTTCTCTGGCTTTGCACAAGTGAGCAACAGCCACACACAGAGTCCATGTACAAACACACAAATTATTTAGACGAGGAAATCCCTAACAATACTGCGTAGGACATCCATATTGTAACACAGCATAGTCTGTTCCGGCATGACCATCCCTATAACAGAAGTTACCCTTCTTCCAGGTTTTCTCTCTCCTCCCCAAATTCCTTCACAGAACAGTTACATTTATTTTGAAGAAAGGGAGAAAAAAGAAAACAACCCAAAAACCAACAACCCAATAGATTCTTAGAAACATGGTGTTTTGTTTTTCTTTTCATTTGTTCTAGCCTTCTGGCTTACCCTAGAGTGTGTGTGTGTGTGTGTGTGTGTGTGTGTGTGTGTGTGTGTGCGCGTGAGAGCACGCGCGTGGATGTGTATGCACACGTGTGTAAAAATCACATTATATACAATACAATTTTTACAGAAAGCCTGGCAGCTACAGGTCAGAGGTAGAACTACTCAAAACTATGTTTCCTGCTGCAGGAAAAAATTCATTTTCTTTACAGTAATTAAAAAAAAAGTTTAAAAAGTTGACAAAAAAAAAATAAGTTGCAGGTTAGGCCCCATAATTTAAACAACAAAATCTAGGAAGAAAAATATTCTTCAATGTACTCAACAGATAAGTTCATTAAAGGGTTAAAAAAAGTTGCATAGGAAAAGTGACATTGCAGTACTTGCTACAAAGGTGGCAAAGATTTCTCTACAGGGAGCGAAGTACCGTTAGTGTTTTCAGCTTTTGATAACTCTAAGATCAGGGTTGGCGAGCAAGGGAAGATTGGTAGCAGCACTTTTCCAGTTTTGGGGGCTCTGTAAAGCAAGAAGGGACTCTGTCTGCAGTACAAGGGCTGCCCTACCAGACAGAGCCAAGCCAGGAAGCACAGCTCGAAGCTTAGGTTGTAAGTTCCTTCAATAGTTTCCTAAAAGGTGGTGCAAATTTCCCTAATGCTTTTGATCTCTGCTTGACAGGGGTGGTTTCTGTGTGTCGTGAGTGGCAGGAATTTACAGATCAGAGGACACACCTGAATGCATGGAAACAGAAATGTGACCCCTCAGTTGCATTTTTTTTTTTTTAAGAAAAGGGACGGTATTGTCTTGATTTTACCTATGCAAGACAGAAGCAGAGAAAGTGACTGTATTATTCAGCCAGTGACCGAACAAAGGTTTTAAAATACATAGACATAAAAAGGAAAAAAAATTAGAACAGTTAACGACAGAACTATCAGGTTTGAGAAAGACACACAGGTTACAATGTGGTTTCTGTTCCCTTGCTCCTCCAAAGATAATCGTTGTCTTCAGGCTCAAGTTCTATTCTAATTTGAGGCACAACGTTCACTGGAGTTCTAGGAGGACTAAACAGAAAGAAGAAAAAAAAAGAAACATGAAGTAAATACAACTTTCATTATCATCTCTGAAATGCTTATGCACTGGGCATACGTAAAATGCATCACTCTGTTCCATTCTAATGCTACCTCTTCCGTGTGGGGGAACAGGGACTTTTAAATGAAAGCAAGAAGTAAAATGATAGTAAACTCAAGCAGAAATTGCCTGAGATTTCATATATAGCAAAAATTCCCCAAAGAAAAATAAATGAGACTATCATACGGATAATATTGTTAGAAATCAAGGGTCAAGACCAGCACCCTTGAAGACATTCACAGTCCTCTTTCTGAGACTCAGATTGAACCTGTCATTTCCAGACCCTTGTTAAAGAGAAGCAAACCACTGAAGAAAGCTACCAGAAAACCCCAGTCACCTAAGGCCAAGGAAACCATAAGGACTAATGTGGATCCTACCTGTTAACTTGATGACAGTGAAAATTTTTCATTTTTCTTAAGAGTAAAGCTCGGGTCTTTTAAAATGCTTCTGATCGGCAAAGCCTAGGGTGAGTCCTGGTCCCTGGGTAATTTATTGAAGTCCCAGAGAAGAGTGCAAGGGGTCTGCCCATAAGCCGAACTGTTGCCCCACCCCACAGCACAAGGCACATGCCCACTCTCCTTTACCTTGGTATACCCAGCGACTCAAGGAAAGGAATTTTATCAGCATGATGTGTGGCGTTCAAGGAATGTTGATGATCTTTCTCCTGGGGTGGGGGGGAGGATAATTGAAAGGAAGTCAATCTTTTTGTAAAAACATAAAATTAGAGCGAATATGAAAATCTCCATGCAAACCAAGGCACCTTTCAGAACTGAAAAGAGTAGGAAAATCACGTTTAGACAGTGTCCATAAACCATGGTATCAAGCTAAGCATGCAAGAAACTTGACGGAGCCCAAATCATTTCCTCCTCTTCCTTTAAGGCCAGAGGGGAATCCTTGCCATGGGGCTAGAATATCTTCTGTATGTGTCATGCATGTCCTTAGCCTTCCCTCCCTGCTCAACCTCAGCCTTGCCTGCTGATATTCAAGAGGAAAAAGAGACTTTAGAGGTACTTGTATTACAACTCCAGTTTAATCAGTTCATCAGTTCTGTTCTTCCTTGGCCTACAAAGATTACCACACTATTAGAAAAGTTTCAGTCAAAATGGCCATATGTCAGCTTTTATGTCAACCATCTATTAACTTGTGAAGGGATTCTGACAGGGCAAACAACTGGTACATACATTTTTATCACAAGTCTTAAATTTTGATGACTTTTTTTTAAAGTAGCCTTTACAGGCTGTCTTTGCCTTTAATTATCTAGAGAGAAAAAGTGAAATGAATGTGATAGTGGAAATGAAATTGTAAATAAAATTCTTAGCTAATTTCTGTTGATAAGAGTAGGCATAAAGTTAGCCTTGTTTCTAGTTAGCTTTGTTTAAAGTTAGCTTAGTTAAAAGGCAGCTTATTCTTTAAATTCAGTTTTTTTTTTGGGGGGCGAGGGGTGTTACCCTGCCTCAGAATGCTGTCCAGTGAGTCCTGTTTCCTGGTGTTTATGTTCTTGTGTGCTTCCTTCTCACACCGTTACAGAGCTGTCTTCACAGCTAACACACTATGGCACAGGCTCTGAACTGTTAAACCTTGGATTCTATTGTAAAAATACCGCAGCTTCTGCTTAGATTGCCAGCTACCTCTGTGGGACAACCATGCCCCTGTGCCATGGCAGGTCCATAGAAATGTTCATAGACCAAGGAGTGAAAACTTCTTGCCCCAGGCCCTTGGTTGGAAACAGAGCCTCAGGCCCAGTCAAGTGTCCAGGGCCTTAGGACACTTCAGCTGACAGCGGAAGATGCAATCTCTTGGTACCCTAAGCCAGAATCACCAACTCATTGGTTCTTAAATTTTTCAACGTCAAGAACTGTGAGAAGAAATACATGCTTGGGCTATATTTTGGGAGTAATTTGTTACAAGAAAATTGATAACTATATAGCTCCCATATTTCTATCAAGAGTCATTTATTTCAAATTTTCTTGGTAACCCTAACCTCTTACTGACAATGGGTGGTATCATCCACCAGAAATAAAAGTGTCCTTGTTGTCACTCAGTGTGCTCTGAGGTGCACATTTGGACCCAAAGTAACACATTTTCTTCAAATGAAAACTCAAAGCATGACATGCTTTGGAGGCAATTGCTTTATGCTACTGGAAAAGCTTGAAGATGGCTACAGATGTTACTACAGAGTGGACTGTCAATCACAGAGGAAAAGATGACAGGTCACATGCTATTACACTGTAGCCACCAGCCTATTACTCGAGAAAGTCCAGAGCAGTTATAAATGTCAATATGAAGAAAAAGAAGAAGAAGAAGAAGAAGAAGAAGAAGAAGAAGAAGA